TGATTTAAACACGAAAATTTAGATTCAATAAACTCTGTTATCTAAAGAATCCATTTTGATGTCTAACTCATTATGACACAATATGCGATTATATCATATGAATCATATCGTTCGTTAAGCAACAATTCCTTGCAAAGCCTCGTTAAAATACCATAAAAAGAAATCGACATTATTCTTAGTATGAAAACGCGGATTGAACATCGTTGCTGTTGACTGCTTATGATGAAGAATTCTTCGACCAAAGACCGATGGTAACCATCAGTTGGTATGATTAGTACTACGAATCCTTTTGATCTCTTTTTAATTCCATATTAACATAGGGTATTACACATCATCTATGTGATTATTTATTTAATTATGTTTCCAAATATTTTCTTTCTGTTTGCTCTATTGTCTTTTGCAAGTTTTTCTCTAGTCGTTGCACAAATTTAATCTACATGTTTCACAATCTTTTAAGTAGTATTTTATTTTCATTTTTCTTCACTTTCTTCTGTTCGAGATATAGTGCCCGGTCCCAAAGAGAGCGATGAATGTTTACTGCCTAGTCCCAAAGAGAGCAATGAATGATTACTGGTGCATGAGACACGAATAAAGAGTGCCTCTTGAAATGCATCTATGGAACATTGAGATTTTGAGTACGTGAATGCAAACAACTACACAATTGAAAAGAGCTTAAGAATTGATAGGTACTACACTACTGTCCATAGCAACATGATGCATCTTTTTTCATAAGTCATACTCCCTCCGTCTCAATGTAAATTGCATGTTTCGGTTTATTACCTGAAGTTATTTTCAAATTAGTTTTGTATGAAAAATGGTGTAGAATCAAAAAATAAAAATTTTAAAATCAGATTAAAGATCTACAAAACTAGTGACATGACAAATAAAAATGGTAACTTTTTAGATAGGAGAACTCCCTAATAACTAACAAAAAAGGGAAAGAAAGTGAATGAAGTTTGACCTTGTCGATAGTTAGCATGCAATTTAATTTAGGACGGAAAGAATAACTTAAAACTCTTAAGTTAAATATACTTAACATCGAGTGTTTCTATGGTGAGTGGCCCTTGAGAAGTCTCTCGGAATACATGTGGCTCAGTTTATGGATGTATTGATACTTTGAATGAATCGACAAGAATGATAATTTCAAAAAACACAAAAAATGATAAAACTAAACGTCGAACACCATAGGGGTATTTTTTTTGAAAAAAAAAAGATAATTTTATTTGAGTGTTATTGACTCTATTACAATGTATTATTTATTCATGCGCACAGTAACTGGATTCCTCTGTTAGGAATCAAACTTAAATGAACTTCTCCATAGTAGACGCTCTGCCACTCAAACGTATAAAGAAACTCATCGTTGGTGAGTGTTGCACAGTTAACAAAAGAAGAAGTACCAAGGGGTTGACCCGCATTTGATTCTTGACAACTTTGATTGGAAACAACTATACGAAGCATAGGGCCTATGCAAGTAACAAAGTACACACTCCACCTTTTACCACCAATCTGTGATCAAAATCAAATTTACCTCCTTTTAGTAACGATAAATTCTTCAGTGGACCTAAATTGTATGCTCATGTTATGGATTTTAGTACATTTAAATCATAAAAGAAGTGAGTCTTTTGCAAAATAGAAATTATCCATTGGTAATCCCATGAAAATGTGAGAATGACCATATTTTAAATGTGGATCTTGACACCATGTAAGCATCACCTTTCACTGAGTGTCCAATCAGGTCTGAGGAGACCCTCAAAAATTAGACTCATCTTTTTTAAGAAAGAAACTCATTCATAAAATTATTTAGAGAAAAATGAAAAAAGATAAACGAATAGAAGTTAATGTGGAACCATTTAAGACAAGAATCATCATGGGAAGCCCCGGGGGTCTGCAATGTGTGCAGCTGCACAGAGTCCCCAAACTTTTAGGGCACAATATTGTTAGATGCTTATTATTCTAATTATTTGACATTTTTAAATTTAATATAAATTTATATTTTAATATTCTAATTGTTATAAAAGTAGTTATTGAAATTAAATTTAACACTAACTAGTATCACACCCGTGCATTGCACGGGTCATTTTTATGTTATTAAATTCAATTCATTTTTCAGTGATAAAAAATGAGATGCAATAGAATATAGACCGTATTTATAGTATATTATTCTATTTTTTTTGAAACTGTGTGTATAATTATATTTTACTATAAGCATACACAGTTATTTTCAAAACTGTGTGTATAATTATTCTTACTATAATTATATTATAGTACAAATTGGCTACTCACACGGTTATACAATCATTACGTTGGTTAATTATTACCTTTTTAAATTATTTCTACTTTTAATAACGTAATAATAATGCTTTTAAATATTTTTTTGGAAATTGCCTTTCTTGCACGGAGTAATAATTCGTGCACGAGATTAAAAATGATACTTAATTATATAATTTCCGGGTTATTACCTTTCTTGGTAGCGTGCTTAAAAATTATACCTTGGTAGCGTGCTTAAAAATCATTCGTAGTGTGCTTAAAAATTATTTCATTAAATATAACTTTATTATTTTTATTCACAACCATACACTAATCATTTTTATATTACTATAATTTCAGACGCTTACTATTTAATTTTACAATTGCTATATGTAATGGCCATACTTCGTGCACGGGTTAAAAATGGATACTATAACTTAAGACACTTACCATTTATATAAGTAATAATTGCACGGAGTAATAATTATTACAGTTTTTACTAGTATAAATTCGGATACTTTAAAAATGATAGTTATTTATTCTAAATATAATATAATAATTATACTTATAAAATGTAAATTTTATATTACTATAATTTTGGACAATTACCATTTTAACTTCACATTATACATTTTTTGCTGGTATAAATTTTAGACAATTTAAAAATGACAATTATTATTATAAATATAATATAATAATTATACTTATAAAACGTAAAGTTTAGATCAATATAATTTCGGACACTTACCATGTTAACTTCATATTACCATATGTAATGGCCATACTTTTTAAGCAGAAAAACACAATATTAAATTCATGTCTTTTTAAGTAAAGTATGAATTTCATAGCACAACCACTTTGTAAAAAAAACAGAATAGGACCTAGAATAAAAAGAGAATAGGACCTAGAATTTTGAACAGGGCGAGTCTCTTTATTCCACATTTGTAGTCCGGCTTTGAAACACCCTTCCTGGAAAGTCGGAAGTCTGAACTTTAGGGTTTAATTAGCTGCTTATCACACCATCGCTGCCTGAGATCTCTCAAGAAGCCCAGAACAATCAAATTTCGTCCTTTGCAGCAATGGAAATGCAAATGGAAACCTCTCCCATCAGCTTTGATCCCGAAGATCTCAGTATCGGACAGCGTTTCCGTCGATACGGGTAAGAAGTGTAACATTTCTCAGCCTTTCCCCCGATTGGGATGTTATTTCCTTCGAATAATAGGAAAAGCCTGTTCTCAGTTTGTTTCTTCTTTATGACTGTATGTATTGGTACTTATTCCAAGCTAAATCACGATGGCTTTAGAAAGTGGAAAACGTGGGCTTAGGTTTGGACCTCTGCCCTTGGTGTTCTGAGGTTAATAGGTCAATAAAGAATCTCTATCTCTACCCTCTAGGTGTAGGTTCGTGGTAGATTTCAGGTGAAAGGAACAAGTAAAAAAGCTAGTCATGGCTATTATTAATTGCTATACTTTGCACTATAAGAGGGTATATATGATGTTGGTAACCTGGTATTGACTATGCCCACTCAGATTTTCATTTTTAAGACTCTTCCTTAAAATTAAATTTATGGACACTGGCATGTGTCTTTAATTTTCTTTACTCAATAAATGTGAAATATTTATTATTTTATGACTATGTGTGTATATGTATGTATTTTGAAGGGGGGAAAAA